CACATGGCCCACCCTGAATTTGGAGGTCATCAAGCGGCTCATGGGTTAAGTTTATGAGGAAACATCCCGAAAGGATAGGGAAGGAAAGGCAAAGAATGGAGGAAGACCCGGTCCAGACTAGTTCCGTTGCGCGTGCGACAGGAGACCGGATGCACAGCCACTTCTGGAGTTCTTTGTTCAGCTTCGGCTGGAATACTTGAAAGCCTTCGGCCGTGCAGTGGACTTTAACTGCACTTGCCATGCTTCTGCCGCTTGTTCGACACGGCAGGGTTGTGGGGAGTAGTCACCTGTGACGGAACGAGATCTGTTGGAAAATCCATTTCCGAGGAGGCTGGAGAATATTATCTTAATCTTGCACCTCTTGCTTGCATGCAGAAGATCAAAGTACCTCAAGGTTGCGGCTGCTTGGGCATGGGACCCAGCTTGTCATGTGGTTCTGCGCTGTGCTGTTCTTTTTGCTCGGTCTGTGAGGTCTGGATTTTGATTTTCTGAATCCCGAATCTGGCGAAACGGTCACAAAGATTGGCCTCCCAGTGGCTACAGTAGACTCTGCACAGGGGAAAGGAGAGCTACTGCATTAAGCTCTGTGGATTCTATGACCGGTCAATTCAATAGAGTTGGCATGCACAAGTTTGGATGCTTTGCTTGAAGGAAACTTATTGGCTGCTTCAGCTGAATATTGGCGCAATTGCTTGGAAGGCAAGCCTTTGCTAACTCGATTGCGACTTGGCCACGTTGTGATGCGCAGGACGGAGGCATATGACGGAGCCATATGATTTATTTCAGAGACGAGAGAAACAAAGCTGGAAAAACCGTCAAAGGGACCTTAGATTCATTTTCAGCATCTTTTGCAATTTTCGGGGACACTTATGCAGCAAGGTACGACTTCAACCGGAAACCGGGATCATTATCTGTCGCCCAGACAATGATTGAGAAGTTGTTTCAGTAACAGAAGGCTGCGGCCGTTATCTTTTTTGAGTGGTTTTTCCTGGCTTGGGAAGCTTTGCTCCCCAAATTTTCCTTCCAGCCTTAGAGTTTGTTTAATTTGTAGCCTGTCTGTCAGTCAGACTTGCTCAACTGTGTGACACTGTTGCCGACCCCTGATCCAATGCAAGGAGCAGGTTGTTTTTGGCCAAGTTCGATTGCATTCAGGCAGAGTGCTAGAAATCCGATGCGCGGCCAGCACGGTCGTATTATTCCAACTAGGTTGGACCATTGCCATGTATCTCCAAGAGACGTGGGCTGGGTCACGGAGGCGAGTGCCGAAGGCACAGCGGAGCTTCAAACGCTTAAAAAAGAAGTTGGTCTTAATGCATTTTCTTCAAAACTCTGAACATGTTTTGTCTTTGTTTGAACTGGTCTCTCAGCCTTTCTTTTCTTGCTGTTCCCTGTTGTGACAAGCAGGATGCCGAAGAACCGTGTACCGTTTTCTCCCCTATGATCCTATATGTCTTACTGATACCTGGTACACTGGTAATCATGCCTCATGCCTCCCAAGAACCCCTCCTGCTAATGGTTATCTCAAATCCTTCACCCTACAAACTGCAAACAGCCCTCCAATATCACAGAGAGTCTGCAGACTGCCATTGGGAAGATTCTTGAGGGTTGAATCCGGGAAGGCTTAAAGTGCTGACTGTCAGACGGGTTGAACATTTTGTTGAGAACACTTTGTCTAAAGGAAGCCTAAGCCGTCTTTTCCAAGACATTTGGGTTTGCCTTTTACAGCTGCCACTTCCCCCACAAAACCCCATGCAAACGGTTGGAGGCCATTGCTATTAGGTTGGAGGCCATTGCTAGTAGGTTCCTATTCAGTTCGCTACTATGTTTCCTAATCTCGGAACCAAATCATTAATCAGATCATTAGCGCGTGAGCTATCCTGCGTCCAGTAGGTAGTATATAGCTAACTTGTAGGTACTAGCTACCTCAGTTCCTTACTAAATTAAGTAGGGAGGGGGGCAGCCGGCTTAAAAATAGTCCTTTTCATGAACCCTTTCTGTGTCGGTCATTGTGGCCGACTCCAGAGGACGCACGCAACTGTAAAGAGCCCGCCGGAGCATAAGTGTTGGGCTGTATTCTTGTGTTGTCTTCCGGAAGCCGACCAGAAGAACTACACACGTAACTCTTATTTGCACACATGATATTTTGCTTGCTTGTGCATGAGTGGAGTTGCAGCACTATGCAACATGTCCTATTAACACACTTGCTCATGGTGTGGCTGTGCTTGGTTGGCACTGAGTGCAAGTACCAGGTTGCTTTCGGCACCAGGCCCAGCGATAGAGCGAGTCGTCAGAGGTGTCTGGTTTCCACGAATGATGCATTGCAACACAATAGATGTTCGGGCAGCGGTTTTCTCTTTCTTGCGTGCGTGATTTTTCAGCTTCAAACAACGATGTGGCTGAGGCCTTGGGGGGTCGCCAAGGGCAATATGTACAGCTGGTTTCTGCACATATATATATATATATATATTTTTTAAAATAACAACATACAAGTATATATATATACATATTTCATGGCCTGGACCCTGTCATGACAATGCATGTCCGAGAGTTCTCTCTCCGACGAGCGAATCCTAATTTTGGTTCCTTTTCTGTTCCTTTTCTCCTATTAGGTTGGAGGCCATTGCAAAAAACAAACATTCTCGACGATTGTCCAATTTCTTCCTAGCAGCGGTGCCAGGCCCCCTGGCAAGGGGGCGCTCCGACGGCAGTGCTAAGTTTTTCCGACATGTTTTGCTTTGAAGTCGCACCCTTGCTGAAAGGCCAGATTGCAATTTCAGTATGCAGCGGGAAAGTGTATATGGAAACCATTCACATTGCGCTACCATTGCCATGGCCAGCCGTGTCAGTTTCGGAGACGTTTGTACAGCACTTTGAGGCCCACAGAAAGCTGAACGTGTCGTGAAGGTGATCCCTGATCATGTGGCATCATGGGAGCGACATGACAGCTGACAAGCAAATTGTATTTGTTTTGCTTGAATGGTAGGGTTACATGAGTGGTTTGTGCTGCCGTACTTACCAAGAAGATGTCAAGTAGTTATGTTTTTGACGTAGTTGTGTGAATTAGTCCGGCTGTGGTGTGGCAAATCAATGCCCGAAACGATCAAGCGCAACATTGACATTTTTTAAGACGCGCTACTAGTAGCTCCTGGCCTTACTACTAGAAACAAGGACGCTACTAGCAACAAAGGTCATCGCTACTGGGATCTAGTAGCTCCCAACAAGACGACTTTCGCATTTTCGAGCTGTGGGCATCAATGTGCTGGCGGCTCAATGGTGGCCAGCTTCCTGTTGCTGCGCTTGGGTCCTGTCAGTCTTTGGCTCCCAACAGCCGGCCGCAACTTCAATCAAATCCATTGAAGGTAGAAGCTATCACCATATGCACCAAGTGCACGTGCTGGCAAACACCTCTCAATGTGCACATGAATGCAAGCAACCGGGATGATCAATGCCTCTTACAGCGACACATGCAAACGATCAGGTAAGCCGGCTGTGTATATAGTTGCAGCTTTGGCCACCGATTTGTGTGGCCGAACAATACACATGTTTTGCGAAGGGTTGAGCTAGGTGAAGCTGAGACCGACAGAACGTACAACAGATCTCAAGAGCATCAAACGCATCCGGTGCATTGACCGCAGTTTGAGTTTGACCATGGCACTTCTATGCTTCAATGGTGCAGGCTTTGTGCGAAGTGTTTGTCACACACTTCACTTTGCTCTATTTGCTCTGAGAATCTGCAGTTTTTGCGAATTTCAACTTGGAGGCAAATGGGGAACTGGATGGACTGGGAGACTTGACATTTGCTCTACACTTCAACGCAGGACTCGGGAGTCACTTTAGGTCAGGTTGTCCGCATTTTGGCACGAACGTATCGAATTGCATCAAACATCTGCATTGTATCGGATGTGTTTTTGTGTTTCGTGGTCTGTTTTTTTGGGAACAAGTAGGACAAGTTTGGAGCCATGGACCATCGAGCTATTGAATGACAGAGGTGGTATTGACGACTGTATAGTTGATTGTGGCTGTGGCAAGAGCAAAAATCGCTCATACGTCATACAGAATATACCATGCTCAATTCTGATCATACTCAACTAATGTCCTTGTACCGACGGGGCTGTGAGCACTTTTCTGGGATAGGTACACGACAAGCACGTGGACGTATGATTCGTGCATTTCTCTTGACACTGCGACAAGAGTATGAATTGAATTTCATTGGCGTGCTAGTTTTGCTCAAAGACAAATTGCCTTTGATATGTGAGGAGTAGTTGCGAAGCAGAATTGTGCTAATTTTGGACGTCGTATTGCTGCCACCTCAGTCCTTCCGTGATGTGCCGCCTTCTCTCTTTCAACCTTTAGAGTCCTGCTGCTTGTGGTTGTGACGCTACAAAGCTGCACCCTGTGAAGGCTGAATCTAGATGACAACCTACATAGTGACCATAGTGGAGGGCAACAGGTGTTTGAACTTGCAGGTTGCAGTCTTGGGCGTGAAGTTTCTCCCATGCGAAATCTCGATACTGATACGTGATCAAGTTCTCCTGCTCCACATCTACAGCAATGATAGCTTTGTGGTTGTATTTTGTTGCAATTTCATCTCTCATTATCATGAAGATGGCGACTTTGCTTTCAACAAGCTGGGGAGCCTTTTGCTATCCCACACACTTCACTTGCGCTCACGGCTGTATTGTACAACCTTGCATTTCCAGCAATATCAGATTAGCCTCCGACAGACTACCTGAAAAGAGTACTGGCTGTTGAGAGGACATCAGGTTCCCAAAAGGTGATAAGCAATAGGCACCACCCCCTACTGGCATCACTTATGTATATGACCGTATGCGCATGTTCATCAACATGACAATGACCTTCTTGTCTGTGCAGCTGAAAACAGAACAACCGCACAACCAATAGGAGACCACCGTGATCATCCATGTTCCTTCGCAGTGTAGCAGGCTCTAGTCTTTTTGCATTACATTGCTATGTTCAGTGCCAGCTCAGGTCTTCATGGGATGGCTGCTTGGGCTGGAACGACAGTTCGAGGCCATCCTCAGTCCCGAAGATTGTTCATGCTCTCCGAATTCTTTTTTAATAACAAGCAACACTCTTCATTCATCTTCATTCTCAGTTTATGAGAGACTTGTTGGAAGTGAACCTGGCAGGATGCAATACGAAGATCGCCGCGCTAAACAGAACATCTTCATGGACTGCCGCTTTGGAGCTAGCATTCGCAATGCCAAAAAAGTCAGTGAAGCCACTCGTCAAAAGTCTTCGATCATACATCATAATAGTCACTATCTATGAGTCTCCTAAAGTTTGTTCAATCATATTCAGTCTTTGGCTGTTCCCCGCAGGCCGAACATCATTACGTACAACTCCGCCATTCGTAGCTGTGGCCAAGGAGATGACTGTGGTCATTCCACAAGGAAAAGCTCATGAGCTTTAAGTTTCAATTATGAAAGAGATTAAACTGCTGAAGCTTCGTGTCTTTTCCTGCCGCCAATGATGGCTTGAGACAGCGCCATCCAAGGGCACACAGTTGTCGTAGCAAAAGCTGCATTTCGAGAATCCCATGCCAATAGCTCCTCATATCTAGCGCATGTGCAAAAGCAAGAATCAAGAACATTTAGAATCAGACATGATCGAGATGCATTCGTAAAAGCATCACAAAGGAAGGGCTTTGTGTAACGAGCACGATGGATGAGGCCGATAGTGACCTCCCAGACCTTCCAGAGCTGGATGCAGATCTGGCGGGCCAGGACCCGGCGGATTGTGAGGAAGTACGGGCTGCGCTGGGTGGTGTTGCATCTGGGCTTGCGGAGCAGTTGACCACGATAACACAAGAGATGAATAAAATTCGAGAAGAACTCTACGGAGACAATGGGATTGGAGGAATTGCACAGGAACTTGAGAAGTTGAAGACGGGAAACTTAGCAGACCTCGGAAATCTTGGAGAATGCAAGGAAGACGGCTTGGAAAGTCGAAGAGGCCCAGGAGGTTTGGGAGGCCCAGGAGGACTTGGTGAAGATGGACCAAGGAGCCGAGCAAAAGCTCGACCAAGGCCTCCACGGCCCACCGCGCCCTTGGACAAAGAGCGAAGATTGGAAGAACTCCGGCGCAAAATCGAACGTCGGCACTTGCTAGATGAGAAGAAAGGCAAAGAGACGACAGGCTTTTTGGAGTGGCTAGTTATTGCTTTTGTGATCTTCATGATGGTGTATACGGCCTCCTCCTCCTTTCGGGCTCAAGTCAAGCAGTTCTTTGGTGAAGCAGTGCTGGGCGAGGTCACTGATGTGACTGATGTGGAAGCCTATGACTATGGAGCTGTCGTACAAGAAGATGTCGAATCCTACTTTTGAAACTTTCAAAGGTACAATAACATGTCGAGCAAATTCTCACATAGCCTTCTCACTGGACTTGAATTTGGCCTCCCAGAGATTGCAAAAACAGTTGCGCTTCCCGTGTTTGTAGTGTGAAGGCAGGTCTTGGCTGGTCATGGCTCACTCAAGAATTAAGGGTTTAGCAAGTCGCCAAATTGCTCAGTGAGGCAGGAACTGGCCAATGTCCCTGTGGCTTTTTGCATGCTTGCCAAAGCTGGGCTTTTCTCCCAACCAAGTCAGCGCTCAAGCTGCATTGGCGTAAGTAAGATCCTTTAGGTCGCTTCATTTTTCATATTCTTTTGCCAAGCATGGATGCCAGGCAATGCATTTTTGCATATTTTTGCTTTAGGCTTCAACGTCATGGTTCAAGCCGCTACAACAGCTCATCGATGGCAGCTGGCAGCCACTTGGATTTGAGGCTTCCTGATCTTGGAAGATTCAGTGGTGAAATGGTGAAGCCCAAGACTTGTGGGGGAGATACAAGAGAAACCAAGAAAGAAGAAACGGAATCAACAAAGACCACAAGGAATCAACAAAGCAGAGTCTTAATTTCTTTGTCACCGACATGGCACTTTGGGGTTTCTGAGGTGGCCCTATTGGAAGCTGTCCCCAAAGGGACCGCACCCTCTCCGGTGAGCGTGGCAGCAGCAATGTGCCTGGAAGGAACAAATCGAAGTGAAGTCTGATGAGTTTTGCTTTGCTAAACGTGAATGACGTCATGAGCTTAAATGACCGGATTTAAGTGATTTACTAGTAAGTGCACAGAAGTGGCTTGCCCACTGTTGCATGAAGCGCTTGAAGTCTTCGATGTCGGTCAGCTGCGTTTTGTTCTGTCTGCATGACACAGTCTAGCCAGTTCGGCTTGACTCAACGGCCCCATGCCTATTCCCCAAAAGGGTTGATCACAACTGATCACAAGAAGGAAAGCCAATGGGGCGGAATCTGGTCGATCAGGCAAAAGGGGACTGGCAGGTCTCCCGCTTCCGGACAGCCAGGACAGGTGACCTTCCCACGGCACCTTGAGTCCACGCGAAACTTTGTGGCTTCGTGAGGGTTTCCCCGCAGTCCTGCACACTTAATTATCCATTCGGTGTATTACTCTGAGGAACTTGTGCCAGGATCCTAATTATCAAACATGGAGAAAAGGAGAACTGGTCGACTGTCATCATGGAATGGCTATATATATATATATGTGAAATGATCTACGTTTAAGTTTAGGCTGACCAAGGTCACACATATTCATCTCTGTGTGTTTTTGCGAATTCCAAGGTCTGCTTGCGAGCGGGCGTCTGAGTGGTGTGCAGCCCTCGCCATTTTCTGCAACTGGATGCCAAAGATCTACTAAGAGACCTTTTCAAGAAACAGGCTGCAGCAACCAAACTAGTGTGGAATGGTGGAGTGCAATCGGAGATTTGTTGTGCATGTGACTGGGGCTAGGGTCATACCCCAAGGCAAACACTTTTTGATCGCGGACCTTGTTGTGTTCAGTGTGGCAATTACGGCATGTGAAAGGAGTTCCAGGCTCCCTCTTGACGATTGGATTTGTTCATTTTCGTATTTGATTTTGACTGCCCGGACTGCATTGAACTCCCCATGTGCATGAAATTTGGATAGTAGTAATGCCCTTTGTTGCTAGTGGCGATGATGCCCTTCGCTCCTTGTAGCTTCTTGTTACTAGTAAGGCCAGGAGCTACTAGTAGCATCCTTGCTACTATTTTTTTTTGCAAAAACATGAAGTGAGTCCCTCGTTCTCAGGAAGTGACTTGTGAGACAATGCTCGCAAACACTTCGGCTTTGGCCAGCCCCCCTCCATCCTCGTTAGATCGCGTCATGAACCGCATAAGCGACAAGCGCACAGGCGCTATGTCTAAGTTGTGCTCCCCCAAAACCAGGAGTCTCGGTTCCAAGTGCGATGCTTTGACCCAAGCAACGTAAGGGCATCGATATTAGGAGCAAAGGGCATCGCCACTAGGAGCTCCTGGCCTTACTAGGAACACACGACTCTACTAGTAACAAAGGGCATTACTATTAGTAGCATTCTTACTTTGCCCTGTCCCAGTTTGCTTCAGTAAAGGTTGATTAAAGCAACGTCGTGGCGACGAAAAGCGGTGCGTCCTCGCCTAAGCCGGGGAAGCCAGTAGAGCGATTGCATTGCGTTGGCAGAAGCGGGTTGTGACTTTTGCCCGAAGACACGAAGACACGAAGACACGCGAAGACACGCGAAGACATGAAGACACGCGAAGACACGCGAAGACACGAAGACACGAAGATACGCGAAGACACGCGAAGACACGAAGAGGCTTCAGGTCTTCAAGGCTTCAGGTCGTCACTAGGCTTCAGGTCTTCAAGGCTTCAGGTCGTCAGGTCGTCGCCAGGCTTCAGGTCTTCAAGGCTTCAGGTCGTCACCAGGCTTCAGGTCGTCACCAGGCTTCAGGTCTTCAAGGCTTCAGGTCG